TGGTGCATGAGTGTGGTGCGTGCGTGTGAACGTACACGTGCGGTGCGTACGTAACATGTGCGTGCGTGGTGCGATTGAATTGACAGTGCGTGCAGTGCGTGCGTGCGTCGTGTGTGATTGCACTGTACACGTGCGTGCGTGCAGCGCGTGTTGAAGGTACACGTTTGTGCGTTGCGTTGCGTGCGTGCGTGTGAAGGTACACGTGTAGTGCATGTGTGTTGCGTTGTGTCGTGTGTGGGTAGGCTACAACGTGCGTGCGTAGGTGCATGCATGTGCACCGTTTGACGTGCGCGTGGTGCGTTGCGTGCATGCCAATCGTGCAGTAGACGTGTCGTGCGTGCGTGCGTGCGTGCATGCCGTGGGCGTGCATGAGTGTGTGTGTGTGACGTACACGTGCCTGTGGTGCAGTGAGTACGTACACGTGCGTTGGTGCGCGTTAGTATCGAACAATATCACACATTGCTGTTGACTCCAACCCGTTTAATATGGGTAAAACAGAAAGATAGAGAAGACAAGAAATTACATTAAAAAAGACGGATTGTCCCGATCCAACGACATTTAGCAGTGTGCTCTGCTCTAAGGCGTTCAGCTTCCGAGCGTTGGGGTTTTGTGTTATGGTATGTGCCTTGACAACATGCGGGCGGTGATTGGTACATTGTGTATGTATACGGCGTGCGCAGTCACGTGCGTGGATGAGTGTGTGGTTGACGGTGTGCACGTACACGTGGTCGCGTGGCGAGCGTGCGTCGTCATGTGCCACGTTTGCGTGCGTGCCTGTGAACTTACACTGCCGTTGCATGCGTGCGTGCGTCCGTATGTGTGCAGTACAGTGCTGTGCGTTGCGCGGTGGTGGAATGGTACATGTTTGTGCGGTGCGTGGCCGTGGCGTGGTGTGCGGTAAACGTGTGTGCATGTGTGAGTGCGTACGTTCGTGTGTGTGTAGGTACACGTGCGTGCGGTGTCGTGATGCATGTTGCACGTAGAGTGCGTGCGTGCGATGGTGCGTGCAGTGCTGTGGCACGTACCGTGCGTAATGCGTGCGTGCATGATGTGTGTGTGCAGTCACGTGCGTGAAAAATCAGGCAGAACGCTGCAAATTGAAGACAAATAGCTCGACTACAAAATCAAGAATTCTACATGCTATATGCGGCGTGCGGTGCCCGTGCGGTGCGTTGCGTACCGTTTGCGTGCGTAGTACACGTGCGTGCGTATGCTTGTATCTCGAACATATCGCGCATCTGCTTGCTACACCGTTATATGTAACAGAAAATACCAGAAACAAGAAATAATAAAAAACCGAGGTTCGATCTAACGACTGGAGTATTTAGGGTTATTGCAGCTTTATTATAGTTTTTTGTGCGCTTTTAGATCAACAATAATTTCAACGATTTTACGATGACATGCTTACAGGCCAAACCGCTGTGTCAAGTCAGGTCCACTGTTGCACGAATCGAACTAGCGAATTCCCAGTGAATTCTATGTAATTCCATGTTGTGTTATTTAATGGACATAGGTGGAGAGCTGCCGCCTGCAATATTAAAACTGACTGCGGTGAAAGAGAGGGCGTCGGTGGACCACTAGTTAGGCTAAAATACCTTGCCTTGAAATTCTAGGGGGCTGACCCCCCTTGTGTTGCCCCCCCCCCGAATCGCGCACTGACAACTTACAGCACTGGATCTTCTCCCTCTGAAATTTTGATTCAAACGTATATTTTACTTGAGAAAGACCTAGAACTGTACAAAAAAGCTACGAGAAAAACAACCATGCAGATTTTGAACCAAAAGTGAATATTTCACCCCTTATACAAATCGGGAATTATACTTCCGTCGGGTTCAGCACCCAGCCCCCCCCAAGTGTGATTTGAATTGAATTTTTCCATTCCAATCCCGGCCGCCGTGGTGAAAAATTCAATATCCAACTCTCAATAGGTGTATTTTTAACAATTTTGAATAAAGCAGGGATTTAACTTTCGTGAGCAATGATAAGACGTGATTTGGGAATTTTGAAAAAAAATATGGGGAATGCATCCACAATTAACCGTCTGAGTTTCAGTAAAATAATGTCATTCTTGGAACGAGTTACAGATATTTTACAGTAGATATATGTCGTTTTCCATTTGTGTAATAATACATTAGGAGCGTATAAATAGCGATGACGGATTTGTAGATAACTGTTAAGTATTTAGTGTCTGTAAAATATAAGATTTTTCCCATTTTCCTCCTGAAAGTAGGGGGGGGATGATTGTACACGCCATCCCCCACCTCAATAAGTGGGGAGATATATCCCCCACCCCGCCATCTACGCCCCTGCTATTGAGTTAGTTGAGATGGTTATCAAAAACTACCATGCAAATTCTAAAGTGATTTTGCCTCAACTTGATTAGCCTTGATCGGCCTCTGCGTGACCGCTTTCTTCATGTAAAACTTATAACCTTTCATATATATCAAGAGTCCATGATAGAGACTAATGGAGACACATGGTCGGGTGAAGATTGGGACGGTTGCGTAATGATTTTTTTGTAGCACTCAATCATCCGAGCGTGATCATTGTTTTCGACATGTACAATCCTCAAATGATCCTTTTAAGTTTAGTTTCTTCGTTTCTGTCATTCTATAAATATATTGGCATTCTCTTCCTTCCTCCTTGCAAAATTAATGCTTTTTCTACTGCAATCCGCAGTGTTGATCTGGCTATTTGATCAATTTGGTCTCACTCCGTCTTCGACATAGTTCCTTGTTGGACTTTGAAGTCTAATATATATGAGGTTGTGAGGTTAATAACACACACGCACGCACGCACACAAACCCACCGATTACAGCATATATACCGTAAGATATAACGCAACGTTAGAGCAAGCACTTTCTGTGATATCGCACCAAGTTTTTTTTTTAAATCACCTGCTATTTTAGCGTGACGATTATGTTACGTAATAGATATGTTTATATATATATATATATATATAATATTGCGTTATAACGTCGCAACTAAGAATAACGCGAGAAACCCGACTGTGTAGCTTAATTGCGCCCGTCTGGCTGGCTACACAGGGCTCATGCTGTGCGCTGACGTTTGAAGAGCACATTTTTCTATTTATTTATCATTTCAGGTTTTCAGATCAATTATTTCTCCCATTCGTTGCATAGAGGCGGGTAGACGGTGCATCAACAGCTAAATAACTTTCTACTACTGGTCATATTCATATACCATGTTTATAGTGTATATATCGGTGGGACAAGAGAAAGGCGTAGTTATAAGATATAGTGGGAACACCATAGATATAGAATACAGAATACAGAATATAGAATACATATGTATTCTATATCTACGGGAACACCAACAGCTCGCCCGTGCTGTAGCTGTCTTGAGAAAGTGTATGTCTATGTGACAACTGACTGTATATAGTTTGCGGGATAGTTTGCCGCCCAGTATTAATATTACGCTCACATATCTATACACTCAAACTCTAGCTTCATACCTAGTTGTGTAATCCTGACAACGCAGAGAAGCAGATCTAGCTGTCACTAACAAGGAGTGCACTTCTAGTAATTGCAAGACGGATATATATATATGTTGGACATCTTTTGCAGGGCATCTATGTATGTGCTGGGGGTTTCTAGGTTGCATTACGCGTAAGAGTATTTTGTGAGGAACCGGTGACGTGTCTCATCCGTGAAACTCGAGGAAGATGCTGCTCTCGTGCATGAACGAGTCGCATATTTGTTGTTGTGATGTAACCGTTCGTTCGTTGCATGTTTCAGTAATGCTTGGGGAGACACAAGATCACATAAATAACTGAAGAAGAGAGAGAACTGGGGATAACAGGAAGCGTTTACACGTTGACGATCACCGAAGCTTTGCATGAACATGTAATTAAGAAATGGCTTACCACTATTAACCTTGTAATATACAGTAACACAATACATATATATTTTGCCACAAACATGTCAACATAGTTTCATAGCATGAAGCCTGCAACATTGATTTTAAACTACATAGCATATTTATAGTTTATAACATATAGTGTCATTGGCAACATGCCAATTTCCTATTTGAGCAGCCATGCATGGCCAGAGGAGTGCATTCGTTACCACAGTTCCACCTCATATGACAACCAACCATTGTCATGACAACCAACAATATATAAGCGCATCTATATTAACAAGATGATCGCACTTTTGGTACAAAAAATATCTTTTTGTATCTGTTAAGAATGACTACGCACATACATAGAAGCCAGTCTATACACAAGTATTATATATCGGATATAGATAAGTTTCTGATATACTTCATAGACGGCGAATCACAGGCAGCCAGGAGCAAAGCAAACAAGAAATGAAATTCCTTACCTTATTATTACTAATTACTATAATTATTATTTTTGGAGAACTTCTCGAAGCACTTGCTGACATAAAGAGCTGTACAATTTAAAGGCACAACATTCGACAACTTGCTTTTTTTTGTTGACTAAACTACAGATCACCTTGCGGCTTACTATGATGGAAAATATAATAGTATATGTAAAGAAAAATAAATGTAATACTGCTGTGCAGATAAATAATGAAATGTGACCATACTGCTCGACTGGTGTCAAAATCGTAAAGAAGAGACATTATACAATTGTGTAGAAATAAATATTAATAAACAAACTAAAATACAAACTAGCTATACATATACCTGAATATAGTATTCTGAAGTAACATGTATCTGTGCATGGTTGGTATAAATAAGTACATATACTGTAGGAATCAGCATAAAAATAGATGCACCCAATTACAAGTACTTAAGATTCTCCATTACCAGACAGCAGCCCTTCAGCTACAACTATAGTGTGCTTTGAAAATTGCAAGACATGAGGGTAGCACCAAGATTTATACACCGAGGATTTCCCATTAAAGCTATTCATTACAATATTCAGAATTAGCCTTACGGCTCATGCAAACACCCCTAGTATGGGAAAAAAATGACTAGATATGGCCAGCCACAGGGCACTCTACATAGGCATGTGTGCTTGTTCATAGAAGTCTGGCCCATCTTCATCATCATAGTCAGTGTCCAAATCTTCCTTATCAATCTACAACACAATAAAAGCCAATTTTATTACCAGAGGTTCAAAGGCACATACGCAAAGGGCAGAACTAGCTTCATGTTTTAATTAGTAGCCAGCCAGCCGTAAACACGGTTGGTCGCTATTTATTACTCTCAGCTAGAAAACTAGTTTTTCCTCTACGAATCTCTACGTAACTCTCATCATTAGGAATCAATAATGAAGGAATTTTGATGTGAACACGATTAAACGTACCTGTGCCAGTTCAGTGCTAGTAAATATTAGCGTGATTGCCTTTCTGACTGGCACTACAAGCAGAAGTACAAAAGGAAATGCCAGGGCTGCTGCCGATGACTTGACTGCCCACAATACACCTATGCAGAGGATCTGGATGATTGTGAAAAGGTGAATTTTAAAGGTTGGGACCTGTAATAAGAAAAAAAATAGATTGGTCAGCATTTCGAACATGAATACATTCATATAATTCCCATACTCATATAAACATCTCAACTATATAGAAAGGACATTGAATACAAATTATATTTTCGTCACTAACAAATTGTGAAGGTTCAAGAAATCAATACACGATAAGGCAACTAGTGTACCTAAGCACATACCGGTGAAAAGTTTTACCTTACCACCACCATACTGATATGTATTAATGCCAAAATGTCCTACCTTTTTAACATATCCTACGTCAGGGAAATGTTTTCCTGGCATAAACAGCATCTTGAATCTGTCAATAAGCTGAATGCCTTGCAGTGAGCTAAATCCCATGTAGAGAAAAACTCCAAACAGCACAGCTTCTGGAACTGCATTCAACACGGGCCCCATCAAGGCTGTCAGACCTGTACCCAATAAAATAATTATGTCAAATTCATGCAGCATGAAGTATTCATGCAGCATGCAGCATGATCAGTGCCTCAGGTCAAGATCAAGACTGTTGTTCAGCAATCTCCTAAACTAATTAACACAGATATTTAATTGTTACTGGTTTGGAAATGACGATCGGGTCATGTTCTGGTAGCAATGATAATTGTGAGATATAAAGAGATAATAAGAGATAAGAGATATGATGAGATAAGAAGAGTGAATATCTATCTATCATACAACTAAAGCATTGGCGATTTTTTTTTAGCAACTGTGCATCTGTCTTTGCACGAGCAGGACATTCAAGCAATGCGAGTAAGTTAAGAACAAAAGAGAAACATAATACAGGTAGGTCTTGTTTCACGATGGTCCATTTTACGACTTTTCACATTAATGATCTTTTCAAAATTACCTAAAAAATAGAAGAAAAAAAATTATTACAACTCTGTAACACATCCCAGCAATGGAATGCCTGTGAGTCCAAACATGTAGTATGCGCTTCTTTTGTTTTTCGTGGTGCATTGTGGGTGGAATGTAGCATTTAATTGCAATATAATTTGGTCTTGTTTTTACGACTATTCATTTTACGACCGTGTTTTACTGGAACCTAATCCTGTCGTAAAACGGGACCTGCCTGTACAAGGTTTTCATTGTTTTGCCCTTTACCATGGGGGCCGCAAGATACAAGATACCCGTTGCACCGACACTCGGCCATTTGCTCCCTCCCCACCGCGACCTATTGAATGGCGTACGTACCCAGCAGGACGCTGACGACGAAGTTGGTCACGCGCTGCTCCTTCACGTCGATGATTCGCGGCTTCTCGCCCGGCGCGTGCGTGCGAGACATCAGCGTCAGCGACGAGATGTGAGCGACCGAGCGCACGGTGGCGGCGCACATCCACGGCAGACCTAACGCGGCGCAGACGAACGCCAGCGAGCCGACGATGAACATGTCGAGGTGGAACCCTGCGCCCTTCTTCAGACATCGCTCCTTCTTGTTCACTATAAGACTGCCGGGGAAACGAACGCGCAAGTGCGCGGGTTAGCGTATTCACGTAATGTCGGGTACTGTGGACTGATGCCGAGATAGGACACGGTGGTATTAGTGAATGCGATTGGCAAGTTTCTGGGTATGCAGGGCTTGAAGAATTGCAATACTTGCCACTAATATGGCTCATGAAGCGATAACCAGAGTACACATACTGTCATTGGCTGATCTGTTGACAGCAGGCAATATGAATCCATGTGAGCTACTAACTTCGGTTAAATCTAATGTTCGGATAAATTAAATTTATTTATCGCCATTATATATATATATATATCTATATATATATAATATATACATATATGTATTATGCTGTGCAAGGTGGCTTCAGCTGGCACTCACGATGATATCTGGAATTCCATGAAGATGAGGATGTAGACCATCATTGCAGGGATGCAGGCCGCAATCAAAAGATACCACTCGACTGACTTGTGTATTCCTAGCGGACTGATCACCCAGCCCCTCTTGTATGGCGCCGTTGGGCTAAAGCTTTTTGGCACATAGAGCTTCTGCATGAAGGAGAGAAGAATAACCAAGTAATATGATAGCAGTCACACATCTTTAACAAGATTTTGCCAATTCGATTACCTACTACAGTGCTCTGTTCTTCACAGAGGTACCACGAGAGTAAAAGCACCAAGATGTAGAGCTTTGAGCTGAAGAATTCCAATTCCTTGTCTTAAATGAAGTGTCACCTATCGACTGACGTAAGGTACGACTGATGTAAGACTGACGTAAGACTGATGTAAGACTGACGTAAGACTGATGTAAGACTGACGTAAGACTGATGTAAGACTGACGTAAGACTGATGCAAGACTGACGTAAGAGCGCACGGCAGCACGCACGCACGCAGGCGACGAACAATCCGGCGCGCGCGCGCGCACCTTCGTGTACGTGTCCGTGACAATGAGCTCGTCGATGATCGTCATAACGACAATCGCGATCGGCACGCCAAAGTCGCCGATCGCGCGGCGCAGGCTCCTCCCTAAAAACTTCGAGTTGCGGAAGTTCTTGAGGAAGTAGGCGAGGAAGAAGGTGCCGATCATGAAGACGGTGCTCATCAGCGCAGTGTTCGGCTGGTTCTTCAGATTCTCGGGGTGATGTCGCTCCACCTCCGCCGCGTCGTCGAGCCCGCCCGCCGAGTAATCGTCATCGGACCCCGCCGTGTTGTTGCCGCCGCCACCGCCATCGCTGTCGGCGACCGTCGCATTGGCGTTCAGCACCCCGTCGCAGTACTTCTCGAGCGACAGCAGCGGATGGTCGGCGTAGATCTGGTACGAGAGGGGCGGCATTTGCATTATATATTTTTCCGGATTACGTATTTAGCACACTACCGTCATGCTGCTGGTTGCAGTGAACTTGCATATCTCTGAAGAGTTAAAAAATCATACTTCTAAGTATAATAGCACACCCCTTCCTCGCACGGCAAGAAAAACGATGCAAACAGTGCCATAACATAACAACACAACCTAAGAAACCCATTACAAATAACAACAAAAATAAGAGCAACAACAAAAACAATAACAACAGCAACAACAATAACATCAACGACGACAACAACAATGAATAAAACCACAATAATGCAACGTGAAAAGTGCCGTAACACAACTACACACGCCGGCATCAATGCAGCATCAGCAGCAGCAAAAAACCAGAGGCCCGTTGTCAGAAACAAAATCGGCCTCAACATTAGTCTTAACATTAACATTCACTTTACGATTTTGCCTGACAACGGGCCCGCAGGAGCACAGCAACAATAGAAGCCACAACAATACAGCTTACGTGGTACAGCTTCTCGATGCACGCAAAGATGAAGATGAACGAGATGAGCGCGGCGAAGATCTCCTCGGTGAAGCGAGTGAAGTAGCGCACGAGCACGCTGCCATCCAGTGCGACCGTCACCACCGTCATCAGCATCACCCACGCGCCGATCCACCAGCGCACCACCAGAAACTCAAAGCCCTGCGACTTACAGAACTGCAATAGAGACATGGTTCATACAGGAGGACTGAAATTTTTTTCAAGGACTTTTCAAGGACTTTTCAAGGACATTTTATCGGAAATTCAAGGACATTTTATCGGAAATTCAAGGACATTTTATCAGACATTTTATCTGAATTCATACACAGAACAAAACATACCTGGATTAATTTAATAACCCCATTCTTAATCACTGCATCTCACCTCTAAAACTTACCTGGATCACATTAATAAACCCTTCTAAACACTGTCACTTCTACAACATACCTTGATTTACTGACTTATTTTAGTGACTTACTGTAATTTGTGATCATCATTTAACTGTCTATCGTGTCTATAGCTTTTTAAGCTCTTTTAACGCAATTTTTATTGAGGTTTACACATTATTGATGATACAAAATTTCTTTTTATTACAGGCAATGATTCTTTCTAAAAATTCAAGGACATTTTCATGAAATTCAAGGACTTTTCAAGCACAAAATCAACATTTACTAAATTCAAGTACTTTTCAAGGACTCCCCTCAAATTCAAAGACTTTTCAAGGACTGTGCGAACCATGAGAGAGCAGAACCTGCTACAGACAACAGACGACACCAGCATGACGACCAGCGAGCAGATATTAAACCGGTTAGGCATCGATCGTAAAACCGTCGCATAGTTTCATCCACAGTAAACTTTTTCTGTATTGCAACGGCAGTTGCTGTTGCATTTTTGCGCGTCGATTTCGAATTCGCCGTTCGTTGTAATTTTACTGATCTTGCATTATTTTCTCTACTCGTAGAGCTCATTATAATCCTAAAGGAATGTGTTAGGAGGTGAAATGCGAATGTGTTTATGATATAAGTAAGCAAATTACATGATGTGTGGGCAAGAAAATATATGAGGTTTCATAGTAGATAGCAGGTTTAAAATGGCAAATCTCTGGCTGCACCCAACAGAATCCGCATGACCAGGGACTGATATGTAGATATTAAAATGACAAATCTCTGGATGCTTGCGACTTCAATTGTGAATGCATGTGAAACACCGAGCTGCACATGCCTGCTGTAACTCAAGAACATGTAGGTTCTGTGAGCTAGCCTTCACACAATGTTTCAATTTGACTGGGATTCGCTATGTAGAATCAGCTTAAAATGCATTTACACTTTATTTATTTTTTAAACAACTAGATTAAAGTATACTTACACCGTATAAACTATACTCGAATACCAGAATGGGTCCTGTAGCACCGAGTATAATCAATGGTTGGGCACTAAATATGCTATATATAAATCCTCCAAGGGCTGATCCTGCTAGCATTTCTGACACTCCCATCCACTCATCTGTTTGATCACCTGAATCAGTCAGTAATTATATTGTAAATAATAAACTGATAGTAAGATCTATAATTTTATTACGATAACGTGACAGCAGTAGTGTGAGCAGTTGAAAATCACTAGTAAGGCAAACGTAAGGCACTATAAAGAACACGTATTAGTGATTCCATTCGGTCACAGTCATTCCAGTTTGCCAGTTCATGACAGACTAATTAGGACAGCACAGAGGAGCAGGCCAACAAACTTACTCATTACGCCTGCAAACGTGATTGCTGGAGATAGACAAGCGAAGAAGATGAAGATGCACGTCGCTAGGCACTGCATGTTAAATGCGTCGATGATGTCGCTTTTGTACAGAGGGTAACGCCGTTTCGCATCGTTCACCATGCCACCGAATGCACGACCAGTCCGAGTGAGTTGCTCCAGAGGCTTCTCACCTGTCGCAAAATAATTCGCCACGCAAGGACTGATGACTGTCACACACAGGGCAACATAACCCTTGCTCAGTACCCTTACTGACTACACACATGCTATTGTGAGGTAGCATATAATTACCATATCGCATGAACATCCAATTTGACTACTTACTACATGTGTGTAACAATTAACATTTATAATATTCCTGGGTCAGCAATCTGATTTATAACAAACGATATGTAATGCAACAGAGTAACATGAGCGCACTTATAGATAGCAGCATGCGAATCCTGCAAACAGGAGCTAGTCTGTTTAACTTTTTACCTTCCTGCTCTTTGCTCACGTGCCGTCTCCGCTTCTTGATTCTAGCCTGCTGCTTGAGCATCTGTTGTTTCTGCATTTCAGCAATGCCGAGAAGAGTTTTCTTGTCCCACACACCAGGTGGCAGGACAGTGCTCGTGTCCAGAAATTCATTGATGGCCACCAGTATATCTTGACGATCGTCTGCACGGTACGCAACCGTGTGAAAGGTCTGTGTAATCGAAGAATGAATCATTGATGGAATTACTGTATGATGTAAGCAAAGCACCATGCAAGCTTTCAAAATACCACAATTTCTATGTCAACACATGAATTTACTTCACTTATAATGCAGCATATAAATGAGCTCTGCTGAAGTTTAACACAGGCAGCATTAATTAAAGCTTTGGGATATATTCATTTCTGCCAAGTAATGTAGCAGCTAACATTTTTGATACAAAATGATGGTACAAGATCTAGGTAATCTAAAAAAGTCATTTTTAAGAATAAAATCTCTTAAATGTATTTAACATTGTGAAAGTCATACCTAGACATACTATAAGATACACAAAAAGAAACTGTTAAGCCTGCCGCACACATTGTGTTTTGTGCTGCACCATCGGCCACGCGTGGCTAATGGCGCAGCACAAAACACAGCGTGTGCACGTGCTAACACAGCGATTTCTTGCGTGTGGAAAATATCACACGTGTTTGATATTTTCTTCCACGTGTGGCAGATTGAACAGCGTGTGCGGAGTGGCTGTGTCAATTTCCACACCGGCTCTATGTAACCGACCAATAGCAGCAGGTCAAGCGAGTCACGTGATCTTCACTTGCGGTTGCAGCGCGGTTGCACTGCGGTACACGCACGTACACGCAGATACACGCACGTACACGCGGGTACACGCACGTGCACGCGGGTACACGCACGTGCACGCACGTACACGCACGTGCACGCACGTACGCGCACGTACACGCGGGTACACGCACGTACACGCACGTACACACACGTACACGCAGGTACACGCACGTACACGCACGTACACGCGGATACACGCACGTACACGCGGGTACACGCACGTACACACAGATACCCGCGTGTAC